AATGAACTCCTTGGTTTTCTATGCAGATAACCGTCAAGGGATATGCAGTATCAGGAGGTGGCCGTGCAATTGAGAGAGTAGATGTATCCATTGATGGTGGCAGAACCTGGGTGGAAGCATCCAGATACCAGAATGCGGACATTCCATACATTGCTGATAATGCAAGTAGTGACAAATGGGCCTAGGTGTTTTTTGAGGCAAACGTTGATGTCCCTATGACTGCTGAGATAGTTGCTAAAGCGGTATGTCTTCTTTGTTTCTTCTCATTATAGCATAACCTTCTTATATGTTGCAGGCTCTCTCAAATGCTTTAATAGAGGATGAACTCATTTATCTGAGGGCTCAATTTGAGCTATTGGAACCAAAAGATGGGTGTTTCTCACTCAATAATTTCAAAATGGTTAGTTGGTTATCTCTTTAAATTAAAATTTTGTAGAAGCTAGTCACACAATGTGATATAGTTTTTTAATAATAAATGTATCTGCTTGTGTTCCTTGGTATTTGATTTCTTTTTTATGACTTTTTATTTGACCTAAAAAAACTTGCAGGCCCTTACAAAAAATGTAACTGATGCCATGAAAGAGTCAAGGGTTCCTGATATTTTAAAACTGGTGAGACATGTCTATGTACTTGCAGTGACAAATTTGAAATTAGATTGACATATTTCTACAAAAAAATACATATTTCTTTTTGTTTTTTTGCTGTCTTATGTTGTTTTCTTCATTAAAGTTTCTGCATGCTATGAGATGGGTGATTGGGGTATAGGGTTCTATTGAGTGTTATGAATTGAGACCTGTTTCTCTGCCATGGTTTTCCTACAATGAACTTGTCGTACTTTTTATCACAGCAAGACACCTTAGCAAAGTACATAATCCAACAGTTCGAGTTAAAATTAAAGTAAAATAACATTAAAGCCATACATCCTAAAATGATGTAGTTTTGCCTCAACTTTAAATATAGGCCGTTGGATTACCACACCAAAACCATAATGATTGTGATGGTTATATGCTATAATACTAAAGAATTGCACGATATCATATCAGTGAGGCATGTATACCGTTAGTTTTTCATCTTCCCTTGTTCTCTGTTCAACTCGTAAAACCATAGATTTTTGATATAGATGAGATAGAACATTAAACTTGTTATTGGTTTCCATTCTATTGCCATTAAACGATATCATAGCAGACTTGTTTGTTATTGGTTGCCATTCTATTGCCATTTTAGCTTAACCCGTATTTATGTGTCTTCATTCCCCTTTTGTACGGCAACGACGGTATTTCATTTGTTTCATTTTCAATTATTTGACTTGTATTATCGAAGTGATTGAGCAGTTGCTCTTTGAAATTCTAGATGTACTCTCCATTATGTTGGGACTTAGAATTAGTAGCATTAGCAATGATTAATTCCTAAAAATGAAGTGGTACTCTCCATTATGTTGGGACTTAGAATTAGTAGCATTAGCAATGATTAATTCCTAAAAATGAAGTGGTTATATATATTTTCTTTGTGATTCCTCCTTCCTTGAGCTATGTTATACGATTCTTTAGATTTATTCCATTTTCATAATGTATTTTTTGATTCTAGCGGTTTCTGAATTAATTTGTGTTTTTATTTTTAATCACACTTAATAGATGTGATCTAAATGTTTTTAATCACACTTAAAAGATGTAATGAATCATTTTTTTAATGACACTTAAAAAGTGTGATTAAAAATGACATTTTTTAATCACTCCCAAAGATCACACTTTAATAAAACTTAAAAGGTGTGGCTAAAAAACATACATCACACAAAAAAAGTGTGATCTTTATCTATATTTGTAGTAGTGAATATCTATCTACATGTTCAATTTCTTAAATAGTTTACTTCCTTCATGTTCCTAAGTAACAAGGTCAATGATCTTACTTTATTGAATTTTAGATCCTCTTTCTTCATTAATTTACATCACCATCTAAAATATTGCTTGTATTGACATTAATTGTAATTCCAGTAGGATCTAAGGCATGACATAAAAGAGAATAGTCATAATTGTAGTCTTTGGAGCTAATTTTAGCAGTCACTGTCAATATGCCACATTTGTGAGAAGATATATTCATTACTATCATTAGATTAATTCTTTGTGGAACAAATTCAAGGTGTCTATTATTGTTGGCATGTAATGATAATTTGTTAATGAGTAAGATAAATACAATCTGACTAGCATAGAGCATAGCAGCAAATTGGGGTTTAAGAATCCAAACAAGAGAATACCTTTCTCAAAAAATCTTAGAATTGTATATAGTCCATCATAGCAATCTATGGTAATATGTAACATTAGAAAGATATTTTCATTCTGTTTCCTACTATGTTGTGTCACCCAATTGTCCCAACTCAAGTTGATCAAAAAAAAAAATGTCCGAACTCAAGATGTCTCATTGTTGAAATGTGTGATTAGATTAGTTGGTCAAGTCCCAATAAGTTGGGCAGACTTGTTTCATAAAATCAAAAAACAATGTTATGTCAAGGCATTGTACTCTGTTATGGATGTAACTTACCAAAGGTTGATCCCATGATCCATCATTACGAATTTCTATAATTTTTATCAGGTTACTCTAGGAATATGCCTGGATATAAAATATGTCAAGCATAATGAGTGAATAGCACATTTAGTATGTTTGTAATTAGCAACTCTCTGGCTTTAACGCAAAGAATGAACATATTCATGTTTGTACAACTCTGTAAAGTTAGGCTTGGCTACACATGCTACTGCAATTTTGGTCGAAGAAATTTCTAGTGAAACATGAACATTCATCAATAGCAACATGAACAATTTCACACCTAATGTCAAAGGCACAAGTAAAATAGTTCTTAGGCATCATTGATAATCTTTCTCACAGCATGGAACAAACACATCAATGCAAAGAATCATGTAGATCATCCATATTTTTATAGGGGCAATAAATACATACACATGTTGATAAGTTACAGAGGCCATAATTTTGAAGTTAATGGTTTTCGTTTGTTGGAGCTAAAGCCACCATTCAAAAAGCAAATTTTTAATTGATACAAGTGGTTACAAGTGAAATCACCCATAAAATTCCATCCTAAGCTACAAGAGACTAGACCACAGTGACATTCACTAGCAAAAGGACACAAAAAATGCAACGAAGAGATGAAAATTCTAGAACATGAAGAAGTGTAGCCTTAATATGTGAGAAGATTGTGGGCCACTAATTCATTCATTCATGAAGAAGTGCTTGTGAAAAAAAAAACTTGACGATGTTGTTTAAACTCATGTTTATTATCTCTTTTAGAGGAAATGGAGCTAGTGTCCTTCGGATTGTTCCCTATGCAGCATTACATTTCATCATGAAATATGAGCAGTATCGCATTTGGATCTTGAACAATTACTCTGCCTTGGGAACGGGCCCCATGATAGTACTTTTCTACTCCTTTTTCATTGATTTGGTTATTTAGTTTTTGTGGGTCTAAATTTAACATTCTTCTTTTGTTATATGATGGAAATTAGGAATGGTGAATGGGTTGATCATGTCACTTTGCAGGCTGCTGCAGATTCTGTATGGTTCTGCAACTTCATTTTTTCTTTTCTCTTCATTATTAATATAGGCTTGTTGGTATTTTTTGTGTACTATCACTGTGGATGGGAGGTGAGGATTGTGTAACGCGGCCCAATGGGCTGTCAGCCATCAGATAATACAACTGCATACATAACTTTAGGAATTACCTTGTTAAAGATTATTTTGTAGATCTTTGTTTAATCTGATTAATAGCATATTCTAGAATTATATTATGACATATGACTGGCAAAGCGTATGATGTTGGACATTTAATGTTACAGCTATCTGCTCTGTCTCAACTAGATTTGTTGGACTTGACCAAACATGAACTAACAAACTGTGTCCAAATTTTTTGTTTTTTGATCTATTGGTATCTGTTGTGCAACAGAATGTTGTTTGCCTGTTTAGTTATTCTGTTTCGATATAGTTGAAGTCTATCTAGATATTTCATGTTATGGTACTATACATTACACAGTTTGCCATTTGCCAACTTGCTTTAACCCTTTGCTTCAAAATATTTCGCAATCAAACCATCTTGATCATGATTACTTAGCTGCCCACCACTACTAGCAAGTGCATGCATGCATTGTTGATGTTCCCTTTGATGTGTGATGGTGGGTATAAATATTATGTGTCTTATGGGATCACAATTTCGAATTCTTATAGCTATTCAGAGTTTACCATAATGACAAGTAAGTTGTGTGTGTGTGTGTGTTTATTTTTATTTTTTTTTGGGTGGTTTTGGACAGACGAAGTTATTTCAGGAAAATATATCTTGGAATATGGAACGGATTGTCTAGAGATGCATGTTGGAGCAGTTAAGCCTGATGAACGTGCTTTGGTGGTCGATGATTTGATTGCCACTGGTGGAACCCTCTGTGCAGCAATGAATTTACTGGGTACTCACTTGTAAATCATTTGTATTAGCTTTATGAGCCCCAGTAAAAGCACTGTCCTCTTTTTCTTTTTCCTATATTTTAAAAAATTTATGTGGAAAATGCTTTGACTCGTGGATATAAACAATTCCATATGTAGTGAGAAAACGAACCACCTGTTTATTAGTCATTGAACACAGGGACCCAATGAAGGGTTACCTGGACAAGGGCTACAACTTGGGCTATTTGGATCTGGGTGAAGGCCAAATACTATGCCAACCTTTAAAAAAAAAAAAAAAGGATTGAAGAGGCTGTTATCCAATTTACCTTGAGTCAAAGGTGTTCAGCGTCAATCATGTTGGTTAGGTTGTTTGGTTAGCCAAATAACAAAATTTACCATATGTTTGTTATAGACTTTCTCCTTCTTAATTCATCAAGCATTTTGCCCATTTAACAAAATGAATGTTTTGCTCCTATTTCTCAGGACTGAATTAATATGGAATTTGATGTTGCATACTTGTGTATTTTATTGATTGAGCATACCTCTTCAATTAAATTTTCGAAACCATATAGTATGCATTATGTATACATGTGTAGCGACTGATACTGCCCTTGCTGCTGGAAATATATATATATATATATCGTGCAAACCAGAATATATTGTGACCGATTTAATTTTTTTTGGTCAGAACGTGCAGGGGTTGAAGTTGTTGAATGCGCATGTGTAGTTGAATTACCAGATTTAAAGGTTTGTATGCAATGCACTCTAGGCCGCTTTCATTTCCTTAGCTGTTAGTTAGTTCTTCTGTGGTTTGGTTCTTAAATATCATCAATTGATTGTGATTCCTGCTTCTATAATTACTTGTTTTTATTGAAACTGTGCTCTGCTTATATGCTACCACTATCTCAGTTCCTTGACATTTATCTGAATTGATCAATTGACATTTATATGTTGCTGTTGCTGAGTTATGTGTTGAAACTTGGATATAGAAAATTTTATAATAAGACCTGTTTTGATAATGAACTCGTCCTATTTTGATTATGAATTCGCTAAATATTACAGGTGTATTATTTTCCTGCTTTGGCGACCAATTTATTAGTCGCGACAAATAAATTATTTTTTTTCGCGAAAAATGACAATTGCCGACCAAGAGTTTTGGTCGCAAAAAATACATCTATTGCCGACCAAAAAATTTGTTGGTCATGGAAACTCACTTTTGCCGACCAACAGTTTTGGTCGCGAAAAGTAACAATTGGCGACCAAACTAATTTTGGTCGCACAATGTCACAGTTGGCGACCAAAATTTTTTGTCGCGAAATGTCACAATTGGCGACCAAACTTTTTGGTCGCGAAATGTGTCAATTGGCGACTAAGAAATTTGGTCGGCAAAAGGCGACTTTTCGTGACCAAAATGTTTTAGCGACAAAATGAATTAGTCGCGGGAATTAAATATTTAGCGACCAAAAATTTAGTCGGCAAATCCAACTTTTGCCGACCAATGAAAATTTTGGTCGCGAATTAATGGGACTACACATGATCCTTCATTACATGCATATGGTGCATACCCTGGTTACGCGCAGTACCCTCAACAGGTATGACGCTTTTAAAGAACATTGTTTTTTCCCTTTTGCTGGATGTGCTGTCCAGATTGCAATCTAGATAACATACAACTCTTTAGTTTGCTGCTGCTGAGATCGGGATCCAGTTGATTGGTCTAACCCACTGTGTGTTCTACTTTCCGTTTCGTTTCCTGTGCCAGTTTGGTCATGATCAGATTTGCCCGCCGGAGGGGATTGAGTACCCGGCTGCTTTCCCGGTTCGAGGTGCACAGCTTGCCCGATATGCCACAGCATGGAGGACTAGAGAGCTCCTGGCCCCTGCTCCCACTTTCAGTTGCACTTTGTTTGACGAGTGTTTAGATTGGCTCAATGAGGAGGCACAGATTGGGCCTAGCTTGGCATCAGAGGCTTCGACTAGCTCTGGGAGGGGGCACAGGGATACTTAACTTGACTATGCCCCGAATTTATTGCTTTACTAGTACTTTCAAGTTTTCTTTATGAATGTAATAAAAAGCAACTTCGATTGTATGCAAGAGCAGGAGAACTCTGTTTTGAAATCAATGAAATTGAAGGTTGTGGTACTGAAAATTTTCCGCTTTGGTCCAAAAATGGTCTTAGTTGTAAAGAGATTAATTTGAACAAAGTCAACTTTTATTAAAACTTTTCAAAACCATTTTCGATATGGATCAGAACTGGACACGCTTAAGATCTGTCACTGAGATGCATAACCCCAGATCCCTACAACTGGAAAGTTGCCCCTAGTCTGAAAAGTACCGCGGCACTGCATGGCAACGGAAATTTGCCCCTAGTCTGAACAACACTGCACCGGAGATCGTGATAAATGCTGATGGATAAAGATGACTGAGATGGTCAAAATGGACAAAGTTGATCGGGGAAAAGTTTACGGCTGAACTTCAGGGTGAAGTTGCCTACGTATCCCAAAAATGGGAATCAAGCCTTACGTAGTTCAGGCTTAGGTTCACTTGGGTATTTTCACTCTCCTTTTACGCTCTAACTTTTGCCAAGGTCGCCCTTTGCGGGTTTTCAACCTTGCGAGCTCAGTTTTTATATTTTCCAATTTTTTGTGCTCTAACTTTTGCCTAGGTCGCCCTTTCGGGTTTTCGGCCTAGCGAGCCTCTCAGGGGTAATATTTCTTCAACTTGTCCATGTTGATCGGTTGGGAGAACTCTAGGCCATCTAGATCCATCAGAACCACAGCTCCACCAGACTAGATAGCTTTGATGATGTAGGGACCAGTCCAATTGGGTTTGAACTTGCCCCTTGGGTCGTGGATGGGAGTTCGGTTGTCCTTGTGCACCAAATCTCCTTCCTTTAGATTCCTGGACTTAACTTTCTTGTTGAAAGCCCGGGCAATTCTGCGCTGATAGCCTTGAACATGGTACAGTGCTTTCAGTCTACGCTCGTCAAAAAGCATGAGTTCTTCAAATCTGCTCTGTTGCCAATCTGCTTCGGCTATCTGACACTCAGCCGAATACTCATAATTGACGGAACCTCAATCTGCGATAGGTTAGAACGGCCTCTATCCATTAAACCAATAATACGGAGTCGCTTCGGTAGAAGTTCTGATTGAAGTCCTGTAAGCCTCACAGAGCAAATGGCAGCTTATCTGGCCAATCCCGGTAGGTTTCCACCATCTTCTTGAGTATGCTGTTTGATATTCTTGTTGGCAGGCCTCGACCGCTCTGTTGGTTGCGGCCGGTATGTAGATGACTTATGGAAAGCCACGTTGTATTTCTCCAACAAGTCAATCACTTCCTTCTTAAAGTGGGAACCATTATCTGAAATGACCTCGTTTGGGACCCCATAGCGACAGATTATGTTGTTTTTGATAAACTTTGCAACGTGTGACGCCTTCAACACCGCATACGATTGGGCCTCGACCCACTTCGTGAAATAATCTATCGCAACCAGGATGAACTCATGCCCATTCGACCCCTTTGGAGTGACAGCCCCGATCACATCGATTCCCCAAACTGAAAATGGCCATGGCGAAGTCATGTTGTACAGCTTCGACGGCAAGATATTCATGCGGTTTGCATGAATCTGACACTTGTGGCAGCGCCGAACAAAACCGATACAATCCTCCTCCATGGTGGACCAATAGTAACCCTGCCTGAGGATCTTCCGTGCTAACATTACTCCGTTCATATGCGCACCACATTCTCCTCCATGGATGGCCTCCATTAGGCGCTTCGATTCCTCGGTTTCAACACACAACTTGTGCATTCCCAGATGACCTCTCTTATACAGCTTACCCCCACAGATGATAAACTGAATGGCCATTCTTCTGATTGCCCTTTTGTCCTTGGCATTTACCCCTAGCGGGTATGTTTCCTTTTCCAAGAAATTCCAAATGTCATAATACCAGGGGTTTTCGTCTTGAACCTCATCTATAGCAGCGATCGACTCATAGGCTGGCGCAAATTTCTGGTCAATGACAACTGGATGCATCCGGATTCTAAACGGGATGTCTATCATGGAAGATAGAGTTGCTAAAGAATCTACGAACCTGTTGTTCTCTCTTGGAAGATGAATAAAGTTTAGCTTTTCAAACCGAGGAATTAACAAGTCCAAGGTCTGGTCGTACATCATCATCTTTTTTTCTTTGACTTTCCAGTCTCCGTTTGCTTGAGACACAACAAGGTTTGAATCCCCGATGACATCTAACCGTCTTGCCCCTAGTTCCAAGGCTGCTTCAAGACCGATAATGCATGCCTCATATTCTGCTTCGTTGTTCGAGACTTTGAACCGGAGTTTGAAGACTAGAGGGATACAGGAATTGTCGGGTGCTATCAGCAACACTCCTATCCCATACCCGTATTGATTTGACGCTCCGTCAAAGTACATCGTCCAACATTTGTCGTCGATGTGCAAAATGGCTTCATCTGGGAATAAGTACTCAACTGCTTCACCTCCTTCGACTGGATGATCGACTAAGAACTCTGCTACTGCTCTTTCCTTGACTGACTTGCGTGTTACATATTTCAGATCGAATTTGGAGAGCAACAACAACCAACGAGCTAGCCTACCCGTAAGTGCCGGTTTCTCGAAAAGGTATTTGATGGGATCCAGTCGTGAAACCAACATTACGGAGTGAGCTAACAAGTAGTGCCGCAGCTTCCTAGTAGCCCATACCAAAGCTAACCAAGCCTTCTCCAGCGGGGTGTAGCGGGTCTCGTAATCCAACATCTTCTTGCTCAGATAGTAGATGGCCCTCTCCATCTTATCCCCTGACTCTTGTGCGAGCATGCAGCCCATTGTAGTCTCAGTCACTGAAAGGTACAATATCAACGGTTTCCCCGGCTCTGGTAGCGACAACACGGGCGGGTTCTGTAAATATTTCTTGATCTGTTCAAAAGCAGCTTGGCATCGGCCGTCCCATTGGAATTTCTTGCCTTTCTTCAGGAGACCAAAAAGTGATTCACAAGTCAAGGTTAATTTCGAGATAAATCGTCCTGTGAACACTCAGCCAATACTCGTAATGACGGAACCTCAATCTCGATAGGTAGAACGGCCTCCATCCCATAAACCAAT